GATTACCTTGCCATACATTGTATAAAACAAACCAGTTTCTCACTGATGAAAACTTGCTATATTACAAGATTGGCTTACCCAAAATCCTGACAATAGCATAACTGAACCTATGAGGAAAGAGTTGAAAACTTATGTGTATATCAGAAAGCCAAAGAACTTGCAAGAGCTGTGAGTTTTTTGCCAAGAGGAATAGCAGAACATTCCCGATGAAGCAAGGTTTAAATTGTATTACTTCATTCCTTATCAAGTTGAGGCTGTAGTTCATGCCAATGGGAACCATACTAATTACAACATTTAATGTCCCTAAATATAAAATTTAATTTATTTTGTGCAATTTTAGTTTTTCTTCCATCAATAAAAGCAGTTAATTTTACATTTCCTCAAATGGCTCATAACATTTGGATGACTTATTTTCAGTATCATGGTGCATTCAGGTCTGTATCTCCCCTTGTACTCGGTTGATGCAAGTGTAACAACTTGTATTACAGTACTGAATGTCCACAGATACTACACCTTAAAGTATATAATCAGATATTTGAAACTTTGTGTGTGTGTGTGTGTGTGTGTGTGTGTGTGTATAAAGGGTGTGGCAAAAGAAATACCCTTTTTTATTTATTAACTTTTACTGAACAAAAATAAATTACTATACATTGAGAAAATTTTAAGTTTTGTCACAAGATTTATGATTAACAAACTATTTAACTTGTTCAAAATGCTCCCCTCATGTTTAATGCTACATTGAACCTTATCAGCAACACTTCTTCAAATCATTTGACACATTTCTATATTAATTTCAGAAAATTTAATGTGTAATTATTTTGTTAGAATTTATAAAACCAAAGAATTAATTTTATCCATCATAAGATAGTGGTTAGCAAATTAGTCTCAAGAACCATTGTTCTGAAATAAAAACTTGATCTTGATTGTTGTGGATTTGTACCAGACTAAGTTAAGCTTAATACAAGAAGATGCTGAAAAGTTATTGGCATGACCCACTTCCCCAAATCTGACCAAGGGAAGTGTTATGAAGTAGAATACTCTCTGGAACAGACGTTGACAAGTCAACAGATTGTATCTTGACTGGCTTTTGCTGTTGTGTATTGCTATTATAGCAGTACCTCAATTACATACAATACTACACTTCCCTGAACTGAAATGGCCTTATGCCCTTTGATGATTGTTGATTTCTTCTAATTATTCTTGGGAATCTAAACCTTCTTTCTTGGTGTGTATCTTGATTTCTTCTTATAGGTGATTTAGGTCTGAGTTCATTTTCCTCTTCTGACTCCTCCTCAGATTTCTGGTCATTAAACATCTATAGATTATTCAGTTTCATTACTGGATTCATTAGTCCCACCCCTCTCCTTCATGTTCTTCATCTTCAGATTCTTCATCAATTTCTATATCCTCAGATTGCATTTTGCTTCTGAAATGATCTGCATGTACCAGTACATTTTGTCCATTTTTCATTAGTATTGCTGTGTTGTATTTGTACTACAAAGTTTGCCTTCTCTGGATTAGGTTCTTTGTGTTTTTTATACCATACACTTTCACTTGTTGAAAATAACATTGTTATGGGAGCTCTAATCTGTCTACCCATTAATGTGGAGGGGCTTTGTAGTTTGCTGGCATGTGGAATTGTCCTATAGCTTAACAGTAATCTTGGTAAGTAACTCTCTATATCATCATTAGATGGGGAAAATGCTTTTAGTCCCATTTTCAGTCTGTGCTATTCTTTCTGTGATTCCATTCGATTGTGGGTTGTAAGGTTGTGTTTTATATGGGACACATCCAATACACTTTATCCACAAGCACAAAATTTCCTTGCAAAATTCTGGCATGTTATCTGAGGCCAAAGTTTTAGGCACCCCATTCCTTGAAAATAATGTTCTTAATATTTGTTTTAGAGTGGTGGCTTTTCTGTCATAAACCTTAATTACTTGTGGCCAACTACTAAAATTAAAAATAGCTCCATGTCTTTAATATGGGCATGATCCATGTGTACCCAAGCCCATGGTTCTTTTTCTTCAGGCATTTGAATTTTGTTTTGCTGAAAGTTTTTCATTACAGTACATTTGGGGCACCTACATAGTCTTCTACATCTTGAGAATATGCTGGCCACCACGCTTGTAATTTTAGTCTTGTTAGTGTCACTGTTATACCACTGTGACACTATTTAATGCCGGAAGATGTTTTAATGCTGGAAAATATGGATTAGAAGATATAATGTAGGATAGACTGATCAGCTACAATGAAGAAAATTAAAGATTTTATTTTTAAGAAGAAATTAAGATTTTCAGAGAATGAGAATTGTGGAAAGGATAATGTTTTGATAGAGCAATGTGGCAAGTGTGAGAGTAGTTAATTACAAAAGGCACTGGAGATAATTGGGATGGGCTGCCTCAGCCAGGAGGATGGTTGAAGAACCTGGAGATGAGAACAATTGAGTCTTAAGTTTATAAAATAAGAAAGTGTATAAGCCATAATTTTACAAATAGGTGATCTTGACAATTGATGAATGGTGGTCATTAAAAATACTGGTTATCAAAACACAATAGAAAGCAGCCGGGCATTAAAGAAGCGTTGATTCAGGATATGGAATGTCTAGGATCAATGCAGATATGATCTGTCTTCCAGAAGTGGAAGACAGAGATTCTTCGTAATTCTTCTAGAATTTAAGGAATGACTTATGGACCTTTATTGGGTTTAGAGTATTCACAAACACCAGACCATGTCTTGGCCCACGCCGATATGGAGTGAGGGCCCATATAAGCAAACGTGCAAAGCTGAGAAGTGAGAACTGTGGAGCAGTGCTAAGAGTCTATATTGAAGACTGACCAGCTTGCAGAGACTGTCCACATGACTCCTGCTAAGACCAAGAAGTAATCTTCACCCCTTGTACCAACAAAGTTAATACGAAAAGCACATCGAAGTTAACGCTGCAAAACAGAATGTGTTAACATTGAAAGGCAAAATTACACTAACACCAAAAATGGAACGAACTCCACATTAAAAATAGAATTTCGTAATCCAGCTCTGAGAACTTGCCCAAGTGTCACACTCATTTAAGACTGGTTGGGATAATACTTGTTGGAAACCAAAGAACCAATATAAAGATGAACTCTATTAATCAACTGTGCATCATATTTTATTTTTTTATTTTTATTTATGCGTACCTTCACTCTAGTGGATCAACAGCAACCAGACATGACCATCCTATGATTAAAAATTCACAACATGGGATAGGACAAAGGTTTGGACTGAAGAAGGTTACTTTGGTAACTTACTGCAGCATCATACATCCCAGAGAAGCCTGAGGACTTGGGTGCTACATATTCTCATCCAACCAAAGACCTTAGAACCCAGAAGGTGGTATGTTATTGGTCCAGTGACCAAGGAACAGCCCTGAAGTTGGTACAAGTTTGGTCACATGGCCAAGGATCGCAGAGCCCCCAGATGTCACACATCAGTGTAAATCATTGTCTACACCTTTTAGTACTTCTTTTCTTAAACTTTGTGGAGGCATTATAATATCTCCATTGCATATCATGCCTTTCTCTACAGTTAACTTTTGTCTTGATTCTTTTTAGGGTCTTTCTGCCACTGAACAATTGCTCCGAGTGTTTATTTTTATTCTGTCTGAAATTCTATTTAACACTGGATCTTGTATGGTTTCCATTCTGAGATGATTTAGGGGTAGCACATCCATTTCAACAAGGTGCAGTAATTTAACTTCTGAATTTTCAGATGTTTCTAATTTTTTCTGTCAAAATATAGTCTGGTTAGTGCATCCACGTTTGGAATAGTGTTCCCCCCTTTACATATATGATGTCAAAATCAAACGACATGAGTTCTATAGCCCATCTTAAAATTCTAGATGATGTGACTTTTGGTAATTCCTTTCTGGGGTTAAATATAAACCCTAAAGTTTTGTGATCGAACTTTAACAAAAATTTTCAAGCTCTTTTTGTGCTCTATACTATTGCTAACACTTCTTTCTACAAAATATTTGTGTAGTTAGCTTCAGCTGACATTAATTTTCTTGACAGGTACATTATTGGATGACCTTGAGATAAAATTACAGCTACAGCATGTTCACTTGCATCTGTAGTCACTGTCACTTTTTTTTTTTTTTTTGAAAAATCAGTTTTCTTAGTGCATTTTTTAAGCTTTCAAAAGATATATTTTACCTTTGTGTCCATTTAAGTTCTGTATTCTTTTTCCATAATTCTGCAAAAGGTTCTGTTAGGTCACTGTATCTAGCTAGATATTTGCTATAAAAATTGATCAATCCCAAAAAGGATTCTAATTCTTTTTTATTTTTTGATGTAGATACTTCTGATATTTTATTTATTGGTTTATTGTCTGGTAAAATTCCTTCTTTAGATATTTGGTATCCCAAGTATGATATTTTGTCACAATTTAACTCACATTTATCGCTATGGGTTCTGTCTATTTTCCAGAAATTTAGTTCTCTCTGTAATAACCAGCTTTTTATTTTGATTGCATGTTTCTTTTTTAATGGTTGAAATTTCCTCATATATTCAGTCTTCCAGTATTTTGGGGTACACCATAATGGATATTTTCTTTATGGCTTCACATCCTGCCAAAACCAAAAATAAATCAGTAATTTCATTCTTCCCTTCAGAGTCTTTCTTGTCTTTCAGTTTCTTTACCTTAGCCAACACAGCTAAACATCTAATCTATGTTTCTATGTGCTCAGATTCATCTAATGTGGTTAGGGATCCTATCAGTGATGCCACATTGTTATGAAGTAGAGTACTTTCTGGAATAGACATTTCAGGTCAACAGATGATATCTTGACTGGGATTCACTGTGGTATACTGCTTTTATAGCAGTACCTCATTTACATACAGGAAACTTTTGAATCTCTTTAGTTAGGCCCAAGGTCTTTTCAGAAAAATATATAGAAAATATATTCAAAAAGAAAATATACAGAACAAAAAGAAAATGAACTGCTTATCAAAATGTTGACTTACCTCAAAAAATATTCACAAGCTGGCTTTAAATCTTTCAGGTTTATTACTCGGGATACACCTCTGGAAAGAAAGTGGGGAAAAGTTAAATAATTAAGACAATTTGCAAAAATGCAGGTTTGAAAATGAAAAGACATAAAACACTATAAAATACAAAGCAAAAACCCAACAGAAAAGCTAATTTTAAAACACACAATGAAAAAAATAAAGTGGAGGGTAACTTATTTTGGATGAAATAAAGAAACATGAAAATTATTAAGGTGTTATATTCACTTGAGAAAATAAAAGTTTTGAAAAGCATGTAGAATCCCATTCGGATGCAAGGTGTTAAATTCTAATTAGCAATTAGATTCAAACATAAAGCCGAAATCATCTTAGACACTTAACATAGAAAAATTACAGATAACAATGGATAGCCATCTATTTAACCTTACTGTGTATATATACTCATGTAACTAGAATAAAATGTGAACCATGGATGGTTGATTAATATATTTAAAATCTGGAATAATGGACACACTGTCCAGCAACAGGCAATAACAAGCGCATGTTTGTGCAAGGGAGAGAGAGAGATGTGGAAGTGAAAAAAGTTATATCTGAATATGTTATCTTATTTCTGCAGAGAATATACTGAAGAAATAAAAGAAATCAATGGCTCAATGCAATCCATGTCAGGCTGATTGGATTTTAAGATGAAGTTGTGCATTAAGAAGAAAATGCAGAGAAATTTATTGATCAGTTAACGACCTGGATTATTAAAGAGATGAGGCTAAGCAGAGTCAGCTTCTAGAAGATCAGCACAAACAGTTTGATAACACCACATGCATTCATATACAATAATGCTCTTCCCCACAGCTGAAGCTCCATAAATGGACATATTAATCTATACATGAACATATTCTTACACATATATAAATAAGTATTTGATCATATGCATACACAGTTTAAGATCATTTTAACAACATTTCACTGACAGACACACAAGTGCAAGTGGGGTGGTGGGAAAAAAAAGACTTACTGCTCTTAAAATAAAAATTTTAAATATATAACCTATTTAAATGATGAATGAAAAAACAAAACACATACATGATTTTTTTTATGTGTATGTGTGTATAATATAAAATCATAAATAAAGTCAAAATGATGAAATCCTGAAAGTGGCCTTTATGAATTGTTCTGTTTTTGAGGCATGCCATAGTTAAAAGTTCAAAAGGAAACTGATGTTTTTTATTATTTTTGTTTTACTTAAATATAGACAAATATTTTTTTTTTGTTTTATTTCTACTGTCTCGTTGGTTCATATATTTTGCAAAACTTAGAATTCAAAATCTGTATTATAGTTGTTGTCTAAAATTTCTGCAAACTGACAATTATATGGAATTGGTTTTATTTTCAACAGCATAATCAACTTGTAAAAATCTTTCATTGTAATGAGAAATCAGAAACTGATTCTGTCAAACAACCTCAATTTAAAACTGTTTTGTTATATTTGAAATGTATTAATAAAGCATGGCACTTATTTTTTAAATAATTTTATATAAAATGACTAAGTATAATTATCATATTACCTTGTTGGAACATAAAGAATCAAGATTATTAAAACTTAACACATTAGCTCCTGCACAACCCACCAGAGGGTTGTTTTCCAATTTCTTTTCTATGAGGATTATTGGCAACGGGATGCTATGGTTGATTACTTAGATCAGAAGCACCTCCACCCCCCCCCCGCAAAAAATGTAAATATTTTTGTTTTTTGTCTTTTATTCCATTTTCCTTTTGGAATTTCTACCGATGTTTTTTTTTTTTTTTTTGTGACATTTTTAAAAATTTTCATGTACACTGAGCTGTACCATATGTTCATGTGTGACATGTGGGACTCTGGGTTGTTAAAAATGGACTCAGGTACTGAATAACAGACCAGTGGGCTGTGGGTAATAAATACTACCTATAATATCCTTGCCTTATATATGAAACAATGTTAAAACAAATTTGCTGGTACCAAAATTAATTAAGATATAGTGTTGGAACATTGGGATAACAAGGGAAATGAGGCTTAGGAGGTAAAACATGTTAAAAACATGATTCCAACTTTAAGAAGTGTTTTCTTATTCAAACATATTCTCTCATGAACTGAAAAATATGACATGAATTTGTTGTTGTTAAAATTATGAGAAATGATGATGAGAACTTACGTATACACAAGCTTGTACTTAGATTCTCGTCCCTTTTCTGATAACAGCAGTTCAAATATAAAGTCATATTCATTCTCACCACAGTCTGGTGGTGTCAGGTCAATTGAGGCACTTCTGGATTCCACTTCTTTCACCTTTAAATAAACAAGTTGACAAATTTCAAGATAACATCAGAAAACTCAGTGCTTGAAATCATTAAAAATTTTAATATGACCTTTTGCAAAATTTCTCTAAAATAAAACATTTTTACTAAGAACATTGGTTATAAGTTTTAACACCAATCCATAATAATTCACTGAAAGATATGATTTCCTTTCACAAAATACCAAATAGAATTAACTTTTTGCAATTAAATTGTCTGAAGTTGAGATTATCATTGCTATGCTGGTTCAAATAGTTACAAAATAATGCACTATATTTTACTAAAAAATGATATTATCTACAACATTTTGAGAAAAGTCATTAACATTCCAAGTTTTGCTTGGACAATTGAACTAGAGGTTTTACTCATGAAGTTACAATGTTTCACACAATCCATTCTACAGCTTTCCTTGGGTATATTGGGAACACTGGGTAGTGTAAGCAACCTCTTACTATCTGAAATATGTTTTGGCTTTAAATAATTTACAAAGTGTTGAGAAGCCATAAAAAGCAAATCAATCTATCCTTGTGTATATACTTCATAAGGATCAAAATATACACCTGGAAGAAGTTTATCGAATGTATTACTTGAAATATTGTAACAACATCTACATGAAAAGAGGCAGTAAATTGTCCAAAGAAAGGCTGGAATGATCCAGAAGTACTTTTAAATGATATATTGGAATCAGTAATATTTAGGGCAAAAAGTTTACCAAATTGACAAATAAATGATATGGAGTAAAACTGAGATATGAAACAAAATTAGAAGATGAAAAAGTTTGTTTTTTTTAAAGTTCTGAAAGCCAATTTGAAATCCTTTGACATCAACCTTAGATCTTTGTGAAAACCCCCTGCTGAATAACTTCAATCATAAAATCTGGATTTCAGGAACCAAAAATCAGAGAACTTCTGCAGAAATAGCATTACAATCCCATCCTTTATATATATATATATATATATATATATATATATATGTGTGTGTGTGTGTGTGTGTGTGATAGAGAGTGAGTGAGAAGGCAAAACAGTCAAAGATACAGAGTAAGGAAGAAAGAAAATAAGAGAAAAATATAACAGTAAAGGTCAGTGCAGGAAAAAATGAAGCTCCAAGTAGATATTAGTCACATAAAATATTGTAGAAAAAAGTTATTGCTCTGGTTCATTTTGGCAATTGCGTATTTGAACAGAAACTGTTCATAAAGAGATGAAACTTTTGAAACATTAACTGAGAATGCGAGTTCATCAAAGAATCTTTAGAGATTTTCTTAAATCTGAAAATGAAATTTAACTCTGATATTGATTGCTACTAGCATGATATTCTGGTAGAGAATATTAACAGAGACTCTTTTTTTTTCTTAGGTTGATGTCATAATCTGATACAAATGACTTTCTTACAAAGTACACATATAATCTACAAAATAACTGCTTTATAATAATTGTCTTCAGATTTTCTCTGTAGTGTACATATCAAGTGTCGCTTATCTTAAAATACTCCCAAAGCTGCTCTTAGAGCAGAGAAATGGTTTTCAAAAATTCTTACATCTTTTTCAAGTGTTATCTTAAACCAACAGTTTAAAGTATAAGAAAAAATATACTTTATTACTTTTACAATTTTAGAAAAGAGAATCACATGTAAGTATTTAAGTCAGGAATAGCAGTCTGCATAAAATGATATTCAGAGCATAAAGTTCCATTGGATATTTGTAGACATGCCGAAGAGGTCAGGGTTTTAAAATCTGCAGTGCCAAGTGAATAAACATTGAAAAGTTGGCAAGAAAAAGGGAAAAATAAATCAGAGGGAGGGAAAGTTTCAGTTTAATAAAAGAGATAAAATCTTAAAATTTTTTAAAAGAAATTAAATCTGCTATAAATTTTTTTTTTGAGGGGGGGGGACCCTTCTCTCAAAAGACTGATTCTTATGAGAAAAAGTAACAAGAGATAAAAAAAGAAAGAAATAAAGAAAGTTTTTAGGGAATAAAGTATATGAAGACAAAGTGAGAGTGAAAAATCAAAGGATTCAGAGTATAACAATGGAAAATGTAGGAAGAGAAAGAGATTGAAGAAAAATTAACAAATAAAATGGAAATAAAAATACATTGTGAGAGAGAAAGGATGAGTTGAAAGAGATACTGAAAAGAAATGAAGTATATTAAAAAGATAAATAAATGGAAATGATACATGATTAGTAATTTTGGCATTTAAAAATTTACTTCTTATTCTTTAAGCTTACCTGACATTGGGGGACGATTTGCTTCAATATCTCTTCTGTAAACTGAAAGAAGAATGAAATTAGACTTTGCTATATTAACTGGAAAAGAAATTCATGAGGTATATCTTCAAATCTATTGAAATAACATTTATTTATCATCTATAGAATATGACATTCAACTCCTAAGTATGAATTAACAATGCTACACAAAATAAAATTACTATTAAGAAAATCTAATCCTGATAGAAATTTGCTTAATACATGTGAGCATGTCACAGACTTGAGCATATGTCCAGTTTTAATAAAGTTTTAAAATAGTGAGATATTGATTGTTGATTATATTGTAAAAGGTATTTTTAGACAAGTTAAATTTTCAAGATCCACCAAATTTCATTAGTTTGCTAGGAAAAATTGCGTGGCAATCCATATTTCAATACAAATTAGTGGTATAAAATACTTTGGCCACCTAATTTGGCCTTAAAACACAAGATGCTGAAAACCTATTAACCCAACCTACTTTCTAAAATCTGGCCAAATGGTCAAATACCAGAATGTTTTTTTAATCTCTTCCTGGTTGGGACCAAAACTTTTCAGCCCTGACCTAATTAAAATATTTTAGCTCTAATGATTTCTTCCAAATTTTTGGCTTAAATGAGTCTATTATTTTTTTAATAATTATTTTTTTTTAAATTGTTTTTGTAAGTGCATAGTCTTACAAAAACAAAACCAGTTTTTAAAATTCTGGTCATTTAAACATATGCACACAGTAAAGGCTAATATAAAAAGAGCTTTTGTGTGTGTGAGTATAGATAGATATATACATACATACATACACACACACAGCCCTACCATTGCTTGAGTGAGTCATTTCCTATTTGAGATACTAGCATTGAAAAGTGGGGGCGTGGAAAGAGACCCTTCTACTCAAGTATCTATTGTACTTCCAGCATACTTTAAAATGTTATCAATAAATTAAGTGCAAAGCAGAAATAAAACATTCTGAAACTATAAGTATTATAACTAATTTATACATTTTTAACATAAGGATATTTTAAATACTTCTTTTTTTCCAAAGTAAATAAATGATTATACAAACTTGACAACTAAAAGAGATTTCAGGTCACAATCTCTGCAAATAGTATAATATTAAAACGATGAAAGTGGTTTGAGTTGAAGGCAATGGCAACTAAATTCCTGCAGTTCATTCAGTGTTACACACTGTAATAAGATTTTCAATAATTACTTTGTTTTTTTAAACTTAATTGATCTTTTTGATTTGAGTTTATCAAACATAAAATTTTTAAATTGTAACAAATTGTAAATAAAAAATACAAATATAAAGACAGCATGACAAAATAGTCCTTTTCTATACCTGCAATATCTGTTTATATGAAAAATATTTTATGCATGTGCACACACACATACATGTGTGTGTGTGTGTGTGTATGTGTGTGTGAACAAGTGTATACAAGTCAGTCCATAAAAGAATTCTACTAGTGAGCAGTTCTTACACTATGGGGTTATGGGTATGATTTTATCTGAACAGTCTATTATTGCCATAGTAAAAATTATTTAAGAGACTAATATAAAAGTTGTGGATAAGCAAGTAGGTATGCTGGCAATAAAATTCATACACCCTTCCAATTTACAGGCGCATGAGGAACATTTTATGAAACATTCCACAAAATGCAAGACAACATATTTGAAAATATCAAATATGGTTTACTAACAAAACTCTTTAAGCACCAAATAATACTTTGCTTGCATTTGGAGGATTTCTCTTAAGTCTGCAGTCTGAATGTGCTTACATAACATTCATCATATGTATTATTGGCAGAGACTTTATCATTGTTATTAGATCAAGTGTAATTGTCTCAAATGAGTAGATAGATAAGAATAGCACATCAACACATTATCAAAACAAATGATCATACTTTCACAAATAACTTCTAACTTATATATGATAAAGTAGTGTTAATAGGGTAAAAATGCTCATATGCAGGATAGAGTGTATGTAAATATATGCAGTGTGGACACAGTTCAACACCGAATAGTGACAGTGTTTCATGTTTGAATGCAATTTTCAGATCAAGAAGATTGTATTTAAAAATTAAATAGACTGTCACCACAATGGTTATATATATATATATATATATATATATATCAGTGTTGAGATGGAACTGGGTACTACAAATATTCTTAGAAAACATTTCAACAATGAATGGTTTGTTTAGTACTTAAGTTATATTTTCATGAAATATAAACAAAATCTAATCATTCATTTTTAAATTCAGGAATCGAGATGAAATTGTCTTTCCATGTCTTATAATAAGATATTCTTGCCTCATAAAATCCTAGATTCTGCAGAAACATTAGAAAATTGACAAGCATCTTATGGTGGATAAAATATCATCAATTGATATAAACTATAAATCTCATTTGTCTATAATTTTATAGATAATTTATAATATAAATAAATGAAATCTGTTAGCAAATTTTTATAGGAAGTTAGTGTTATTCTATCACTGATAGGCAAAATATAACAATATTTTTTTTATTTCTAAAGTGAAAAGTGAAGTAAAATTAAAATGGAAAGAAACATGCGTCCTGGCTATCCTTAGAAACCCCATTATGAACACATTTCTCTGACTGCCTGTGTCAATCTTATTTGTTCTTTTATTCTCTCACAAAGTAGTTGATCCAGGTGTTTGGATTAAATTCACATATGCAAATCACATCACACTCCAAACCTCTTGGCTTGTCTATTGCGCATTCACTCTACTCAGATAAATCAACATCAAGTGGTTTAATGCGAAGCTCAGGTTCAAATCACACCAAAATCAATTTGGCTTATGGCTACAAACAATGTATGTTGCCATGTGAATTCTTTTCACAGTGAGTGAACAACGCCTTTTCTCAGGAACTCCTTCATTACAATTTCTTTTATTGAAAGTTTATCTAAAATCAAAATCATATATATATATATATATATATTTGGTAATATAGGTTTCTCATTCACCTTTGTGAAAATAAAATAAAAGGAGGTAAAAAAAAAAAAAAAAAAAAAAAAGTGATTGGTAAGATAGGTGGATGTATAGACTTGAAGCACACTGGCTGGGTTATTTATACATCGTATAACATACTGTTTCAATAATAAATTGCATGAAAGGTTTTTCTATATCTACCTTGAATGTTTTCGAAAGATCTCTCTCCTTTGTATTAATATAACTGCCTAACTTACATCACAACACTTTTCCTATCCTTTGCTCTAACATTCTTGCAAAATCTATATTTCTCAAGAGTTAAAAATAATAACTAATTTTTATGTTCAATTATAATTTACTTGAAATCTTTAAGTTATGGTTTCAACATTCACTTTTAATCTGTAAACACAGGCCAAATATAATAATTCCCGAATCTGTACACAATGATCATGCATTAAGACTATGACTGTGTGTTCTGTCATTTATATTTCAATTCTGTGCTGATAGATTGTTAGCAGCCATCAATTGCTTTTCTTCCATTGTATGAGAAAGAATTGATTAATCATTAACAGATTTTTCTGTGTAATATAATAGTTACCAAAATGGAAAACAGAATTGGCAGTTTTAGTTTTGGCTGAAACTATTTGTGATCATTTTGTACTAAAACTTTTAGGAAAGGCATGAGTGTACATTTTCCTACACTATTACACTATTAGATATCTTGACAGAATGTCTCATTAGTTGCATGCCACTATGTTTGATGAAGTAAGCACTTGAGTAAACTACTCTACCATAACTATCTTACTTGCAGAGGCAGCCACAGCAAAAAATCTTATCTGTATAGTCAACCATGACAAGGACCAATTACAATATAAGCTCATTGTATAATCCTGGTATATATAAATTTCTTTATATAGATTCTGAGGTTTTGTCATCTAATTTCAACAATAGAAATAAGGCACATATATGGCAGCTAAACTTCTGAAAAATATTATAAGAGGAAATTAATGCACACCAATTAGATATGAAATGAACAGAAAAGAAAAAGCTGTTTTATACAGTTGGATAAATTTATCAAAAATGTGTTATAAAATGGTTTCTAATGGCTAGATTTAACCATAAGTTATATGCCAAGATTCTTTTCTCACACTTCTCACTTGTGGAACTCTCTTCTGGCTTCTTGCTGTCCAGTCAAGTTTGATCTTTAAAAATTTAAATGCAATGTCAAAAATGTCTTAAATTCTGTTCTATTATTACTCTTGTTCTTTAATAATGTTTTTCTTATATTTTTTCACAGTCAGTAACTCCATGTGTGTTAGTGGCTTTGTTGCCTAGCTTGGGAGTGAAATAATTAAAAAGAAAAAAGTTGAAATCTAGAATAAAATACTTTAACCCCTTTATTCTAGTTGCTTCATGGTTACAGATGAGATAATAAATAGCTTATAGTTAGAATAAAAAATACCTTTGACTCATGCAAAATGGACATTGGTTGTTGAAGCATCTTTCTTTCTTCTTCCTGTTCAGCACCATTTTCTGTTGAAGATATGGTTGTATTTGTGGCCATATTATTCTGATGGTGGACATCACCATTCACTGATATAGTTACTGAAAAACAACAAGAAATAAATTTTGAGACAAACATTTAAACCACACATTTAGTTTCTATCTTTAATAATGATGCCCTTCAACCCAACACAAAACTAACTACATCTGTGGCTTAAAATGTATTGCAATTATTTCAATATCTTTGAAGTTTACATTTTGATTTTCATTGCAAGAAACTAGCACAACATTATGCTGGGGTACTGAAAATTTCCAAGGCTAACATAAATATTTTGGAGAGAAAATTAAGTCAATTTTTCAGCACACCTTTGTAAGTGTTAAAAAAAGAAATAAAAATGGTACTTTTAGATAGTAAAGCTGGTATCAGAGATTCTTTTTTATGTTGTCATGAGATATCTGAAGAGAAGTATCTGAAACTGCCAAGAAAAATTTTTTTTTCTTCTGGTGCACAGAAGCTTGCATGTTAAAAAGTTGCCATAGGAAATAATTTTATTATTTTCTTAACTATCTTCCATACATGCTCATTAAATAACTTCTGTATGCAGTGAAAAATAAGGTTTCTGTTAAATGCTTATTTATTGGATTTTTTTTAAATTTTATATTTCTTGATTATTTTACAATTTTATTTAAAGAAGATTCAAGAAAAAAAAGAAAGAAAAGAATTTTAAAACTTCAAAAGGTTTTTTTTTGGATTCAGAAGAATTTTTTTTAATTTGAAGTTTAAAATAAAATGTCTACTCATTTCTTTGAGGATTAGTGTAAATATTTTTAGTGTCCAAAAGATAATTTGAGATTTTATGAAATTAAATGAAGTGAGGTATAATCAACTTGAAAAAATTATTTCTACAAACTTTTCTATCAAAATACCCTATTCATAAATGAATTCATATATATATGTGTGTGTGTGTGCTACAAATTTTACTGAAAGCTGATAAAATCTGGTTTTTTTTTTCCCTAAAACTATTCTCATGCAAATTACTACATTACGCTGTTTTAGAGAGTTTAAACAACTTTTCAAAAATTATTATGTCCAGCTTTATATTGTGAGCAGAAATTTTATACCACATTTTTATCACAGCCTTTCTTTTTACTAATGACACAAAAATTATGATACAAATTCTAGAGGACTTTTTTATTCATCACACATCACTTCTTCATCAATTTATGACATCTGGTAATTATTTGGTGGGCCCAAAATAATAAGTCAAAATATGGATTAGTAATCAAAATGTGTATTAACGCAGTAACATAGTTTTCTGCATTATATTTGCTACTTATTTTATTTATTCTACAAACAAATTAGATTAACTAATGGGTTCTGAATTTGGTACCTAAAATCCTTAAAGGATATGAAATCCTCCTGCTGCCAATTAAAACCTGAGCACAATGCTAAAAAAAAAAAACCCCAAAAAACAACAACAAACAAAAAGTGTGTGCAGTGGTGGTGGAGAGAGAATTAAAAAAAGGTGTTGCTTTGCTAACTCCATAATGGCTTGAACATAAGCTAGCCTAAAGCTGGGTTGGCAGTGGGTTTCCATGGCATAGTTGTCAGAGTTATGTTACTTGTATGAAAAATGATCCTGCAGGTCCAACAGATTGGTACATAAGCCAAGAAGTTCAACATTAATTAGAATGCCAGAGTGCGTGTGTGTGTGTGTGTGGTCAAGAGTTCACAATTGTACCACTGAGTACAGGATATGCTAAATGAATCTGTTAATTTATTTAAGAACCTGGTACCACCAGAAACTTAAACCAAAGCACCCACCTATACCTATTTGGCTAAAGGAAGAGACAAAAACGCTTGTTAAATGGGCTTCAAAATGACAGCAGAAACTGATAAGTGAACAAAATATTCAAACTAAATCTTTAACTTTAAGTAAAAAAAACAAAACATTCTTGAATAATTTTTACTTATCTTCAAATATTAGTGACTTCATTTCAGTGCTGGTAAAAAATGAATTTATTTTTGTTTTTAATAACAAAATAATGGAGACAATTTTGACATGTTTTTTGATGTAATATCCTAAAATAAAGTATATACCTCCATAAAAAACAGAAAAAAATGAAACGTAAAGTTTAAAATAAATTTTTAAAAATGAAAAGTTTTTCTTGAAGTTTTTATTTTAGTTTTAATTTCAAGCTAATAGATTAAATTTAAAATTTCCAATAAGCAAAATACTTTACTGTATTTCAAAAACTAATTTAAATTGACTGGAAGAATTTTTTTTTTTTTTTTTAATGAAAATAGCCAATTAGCACCCCTTTTTTAGTTGTCTTTCATTGCAACATAATTCTCTTTATTAAAAATCTTGCAAAAATAAAATATACTTTCCTGAAACTTTATTTGATTTAAAGTATAAATAACCTGATTTTAAACAAAGACTATTTACTTTAAGTCTTTAAATATTGCAGAAACACATTTTTTTAGCCTGACAGTAGCTGTTTTGATGTGTTGACAGCCTGATGATAGGTTTAATAAAGTTCTATGGAGACTTTATCTGGAAAACAATTTAAGAAATTGACATGAGCACCTTTTTATATAATTTTTAAGTACTCAGTAATCCTAAAAATTTAGAAAAATATTCTGTAATCTAACGTTTGATTACATTTTAGAAATGTTGACACTAAATTTACTATAGATATCACTCTTATTTTCTGATAATGTCATGTATGGTCACCTGTATTTACAAAAATCAGCATGTTTATACACATAAAAAAAATTCAAAATTCTTTTAAAAATATTGGTGTTTGATGATTAGTATAAAGTTATTCCATTTATGATTAGTAAATATAGTCTTTACTTGATAATATCATCTAGAAGGGTGAAATTAATGCAGAATTTTAAAAGATTTAAAACTTAATAAATTTTCTAATTAAAATAAAAAGAAAAATGAAAACAATTCTTGCAAAAATTCATTATTCATTGAAAAAAATTTTGTTCATAAGACAATAGTGTCTTTAATTTATCTTATTTATAAAAGCAATTTTTTCTATTTAAATAATGTCATAGTTTTATTGAATTTTTTATTTTACAATTCAGAGCAGATTTTCAGTAAATGGTGAAAAAAGGAAAAAAAAAAAAAAGTATAGTTATTATTAATATAAATTATAGCTCTGTATACATTGAGCACTATTTTATTAGCACAACTCAACGTGCAATATTTTATATTTATAGATAGATAGCAAATATTTTTTTATTTATAGATAGATAGCAAATATTTTTTTATTTATAGATAGATAGCAAATATTTTTTATTTAATTTCAAATTTTGTTAGATAATAGGCATATTAGATATAAAAATAAGTAACCTGAATGAAAACTCTAAGTTTAACAATCAGGGATGGTCCATTGTGCAAAACACAACTGTTTGCCATTTAATAACCATAAGTTTTGATAGTGCTAAATGGCTGTAAATATTAACTTATTTGCCAGCTATTTTTAAAGAAGCAATGAATTAATCTCAAAATATTGATATTTAGGTATGTAAAAAAAAGCTAATAATACCAGAGTTACATCGTTTAATTCCTTTTGAATGCTTACATATTTGTTTTATATTAAAATCAACATCACATAATTATACTTCATTAGTGATGTCACTTCACAAAAATAATTGCATATATGACATAACGAATACCAAGATGGAAGGAAAACAAGATGCAAAATTTTGACATGCTCACACATACATAAATTAAAGCAAGTCTGTTTTGTATATTAGGAAGAAATAAACACTAATTAGCAGTTGTAAACTTAACAACAAAATAGTTGTTCTAGTTGCAAAGGAGAATAATAAAAGGGGGATGGAAAGTGGGGATAGCATCTGCTATTACTGAATTTTCTGATTCTACTCATTAATTTGCATGCATTTAATCCTGGTTTCTTTTTGTTTTTTTGGATTGCCTTCAGGCACCTGTCATGTTACCTAATCAAAACTGTCATGACACAAATGGCTGACATAAAGCTTCTGACATCAGAGAAAGAAAGAAATATAGTTAAATTAGACCAGACAGGCACAAAATATTTTCTTTCCATTTTAGCCAAACAAGATTAAACTATATTCATAATTTAACAAAGCAGGCATGCCTTGATTCTGATTGTGCTACTGCTCAATCTTAGGATGTGAGAACATACAAACCTCAAGAAATACATTTTTAAAACTTATGACAGGTTTAGCTCTAAGTTTTTCTAGAAATGTTTCCTAAAATTCATACCTTTTATGTACATGCTCATGATACATAAACCAACCGACATGAAAATAAAATAAATCTGATAAAAAGCCAATGGTTCCTATAAATCTTTGAGGACAAGTTTCATAATTTTATTTCCTTTTGAAGTGCTTACAAATTATTGAATTGGGTAAATACAGTAGCACAAAAAGCTGTAACTGACTTCTTCAAAAACTGTACATCATAGAAAACTTGATCTTTAAAGGTACCTTTAATATCCTGTTTGCCTTAATTCTAGTCTTATCTACAGAGTGAACCAGCTATTATAAAAAAAAACATCTGTAGTGCATCATAAATAGAAAATAACCTAATGCAATGTTATGCGGCATGCACCAAATTTGAACATTCTCATTTCTCTCACAGATCTATTAAGAGCATTAAGATGGCAGCTTCCCGTCTGATGCAAGAAATGAAAAGAACATCATGACGTTTGTGGTACTAGTCATTCACTATAGTAACTGAGACTGTGAGCTTCTTGAAAATAGTAAGCTGAACAAGAGGAATGACAAGAGGCTTGGTATGGATCTCACAAAGATACACTCTAAATTTACAATGTCTGTGTTTGTACTAGGGCTATATCATGCCATTCAACTTCCATCTGCAGTACCTCAAAGTCTATGTCACTGTCTACATCATGGTGCTGGATTTGTTGTTCAAACCCTGAATTAAGTGGGTAGCCATATGTGTTTTTGCAGGATACTACTCCTTTATATATTGTCCATGATTGGTTGGCCAAGAATTTTTCATAATTATGTAGCATCCTACCTCTCCTAATTTGTATCCTCCAGACTAATATGGCTGGAATGCCATTGAGAGGAA